GGAAGGAAAGGAGGAAGGAAGGAAGGAAGGAAGGAAGGGAGGGAGGGAGGGAGGGAGGAAGGGAGGATGGGGAAGAGAAGGAAGGAAGGGAGGATGGGGAAGAGAAGGAAGGAAGGAAGGAAGGAAGGGAGGGAGGGAGGGAGGGGGAAGGACAGGGAGGGATGGGAGTGAGGGAGGGGAAGGGAGGAAGGTAGGGGCAGGAGGAAGTGGAGGAGGGGGGGGCCTTTCTTCCTTTCTTCCGTTCTTCCTTTCTTCCTTTCTTCCTTTCTTCCTTTCTTCCTTTCTTCCTTTCTTCCTTTCTTCCTTTCTTCCTTTCTTCCTTTCTTCCTTTCTTCCTTTCTTCCTTTCTTTCTTTCTTGCTTCCTTTCTTCCTTTCTTCCTTCCTTCCTTCCTTCCTTCCTTCCTTCCTTCCTTTCTTTCTTTCTTTCTTTCCTGTCCTGATTTTGTTTTTTTGATCCATGGGTTTTGCCTTCATTTCGTGATAGTTTCCTTGTGTTTTCTCATGTTTTCTGGATTTTGTTTTTTTTTGATCCCTATTTGTTCCCGAATGCGTAGCAAGGGTTCCCGTTTCACTCTGGGGGTCTGGGGGTTGAGGGTGTGTTCGCTCGACGTTGCCCAACCGTCCGCAACCGTCCGCAACCGTTCGCAACCGTTCGCGTGAGGGCCGTATGGCCGTGCCTATAGGAAGTTCTGCAGAGGTGGTCCGTTTTGGACGTTTCCAACGTGTCGTTGCTTCGTTTCGCGTGGCAGGCGTGGCACTTCGTGACATTCAGACGTGTTTTGCAACGTGTCGAAAGTCGTTTTGCGTGGCAGGCGCAATACTTTTGCGACGTTTGTAAGAGATGTGTTGCGGTTTTCGTGGCAGGCGCAACACTTTGGACGTGTCCATCGTCATTTTTCGTGGCAGGCGCAGCACTTTAGACGTGTCGTGTTGACTGCTTTTCGCAAATCGCATTGGCAGGGCTGCGTCAAGTGGCGACAAGGTGCAAATTCCGTGGCAGGCGTGGCATTTTGTGACATGTGCTGAAAATTGACGGAAGCCTCGCACGAAACATCGATTTTGAGGTTGCAAAATTTAGAGGTTCTTAGGAAAACTCGTAGGAAAACGTCGATTTTCAAGCTACAAAGTGTGAAAATTGGAGGAAGTCTCGCACGAAATGCTCGTTTTGGTGCTCCCACTCGAGTCTCTGGTTTTCCCGTGGCCTCGCCGTGTCTATGGGGGAAGCTGCAAAACATGTCCTTTCGGCATGTTTCAAACTGTGCAAATTGGAGGAAGTCTCGTATGAAATGCTCGTTTTTCTGCAGGCACGTGTCTTGTCTCGAGTCTCTGGTTTTCCTGTGGCTTCGCCGTGTCTATGGGGGAAACCGCAAAACCTCTCCTTTTCAAACGTTTCCAAGCAGCTTGTCATTTCGTTTTGCGTGGCAGGCGTGGCACTTTGTGAGACTCCAACCCGTTTGATTACGTGTCGAAAATGTCAAAATTGGAGGAAGTCTCGTACGAAATGCTCGTTTTTCTGCATCCACGTGTCTCGTCTCGAGTCTCTGGTTTTCCTGTGGCGTCGCCGTGTCTATGGGGGAAGCTCCGCGCTCCACACTTTACACTCCACACTCCACACTTTACGCTCCACACTCCACACTCCTCACTCCACACTTTACATTCCACACTCCACACTTTACACTCCTCACTTTACACTCCACACTTTACACTCCAGACTCTGCACTTTACACTCTACACTAAACACTCTACACTCCACACTTTACACTTTACACTCCACGCTTTCCACTCTACACTCCTCACTCGACACTTTACACTCCACACTTTACACTCCACACTCCACACTCTACACTTTAGACTCCACACTCCACACTTTATACTTTGCACTTCTCACTACACACTCCACACTTTACACTCCTCACTTTACACACCACACTCCACACTCTACACACCACACTCTACACACCACACTCTACACTTTCCACTCCAGAATCCGCACTCTACACTTTACGCTCAACACTCCACACCCCACACTTCACACTCCACACTTTCCACTCCACACTCCACACTTTACACTCCTCACTCGACACTCCACACTTTACACTCCACACTGCACACTTTACACTCCTCACTCCACACTCCACACTTTACACTCCTCACTCCACACTCGTCACTTTACAATTCACACTTCGCACTCCACACTTTCCACAACACACTCCACACTTTAAACTCCACACTCCACACTTTACACTCCTCACTCGACACTTTCCACCACACTTTACACTCCACACTCCACACTCTACCCTCCACACTTTACACTCCACACTCCACACTCTACACTTTACACTCTACACTAAACACTCTACACTCCACACTTTACACTTTACACTCCACGCTTTCCACTCTACACTCCTCACTCGACACTTTACACTCCACACTTTACACTCCACACTCCACACTGTACACTTTAGACTCCACACTCCACACTCTACACTCCACACTTTACACTCCACACTCCACACTCTACACACCACACTCTACACTTTCCACTCACCACTCCACACGCTACACTCTACACTCCACACTCTACACTCCACACTCTACACTTTACACTCTACACTTCACACTCTACAATTTACAAACTCCACACTCCTCACTCCACACTTTACACTCCTGACTCCTGACTTTACACTCCACACTCCTCACTCCACACTTTACACTCCTCACTTTACACTCCACACTCCACACTTTGCACTTTACAATCCTCACTCTACACTCTACACTCCACACTCTACACTCCACACTCTACACTTTACACTCCTTACTCCACACTCTACACTTTACACTCCGCATTCTACACTTTACACACTCTACACTCCCCACTCCACACTTTACACTCCACACTCCTTACTTCACACTCCACACTCCACACTCTACACTTTCGACTCCACACTGCAGACTGGTAACAAGGGAAACATGTACAAGACTGTTCAAATAAACTATTGCAGAAAGGTATTGTGCGTGACTGCAAAACCATGTGTTTTGACATCTGTACCATTAACATACGTGTGAGCATTCGGGTTCGTGGGCTTCATCTTGTTTTTTTTTGATCCTTATTTGTTTTTTTTGATCCTTATTTGTTTTTTTTGGATCCCTCTCCCTTAATATTGCGGTATGCCAATTTTTTGGCCAAACTCATGTACCTGTGAAATGCGCGTATGTGACGTATGTGTTCCCACATAATACATGGCCAAACTGCATCATACGTGGGCATTACAGTACTCCATTTCTGACAGCAGCAAGCTCCACTAGTGACCTTTCACCGCCCTGAGATGTATACGATTTGAACGTAGGATGAAGCATCGGAGGACTGCCTCCAAACTTGAGGAAAAAATGGCTTCAATCTCAATACCTTCAGAGCATCAATGAAACCAAAAAAATAAAAAATACTGCAACCATCTGTAACCCATCAAGTGCTCTGCCTGGACCCAGCTGCAGCTAGATGCAAAAGGCTATCGCCCTCATCTCTGATGGATAGCAGACTTTGCACCTCGCAGCTACACAAAACGCAGTCGCAGGCGGGCAGCTGATCTAGGGCCCGGGCGGCTTCGTGTCCCAAGAGACCCACCTGCTGTAGGCCCAGTCGCACCGTCTCAACATCTGCTTTGGCCACTGCCTGCCATCATTGGATGGGGGAAATCTTCACCAGAAACCATAGATCTTACCATCATCCCATTCCGGGGTGCAAAGTTCAGTCTGCAACAAAAGGCTGCCTTGAACAGCACTTCAGAAACTGCTGCCACAATCTGGTCCCTCGGCATGAAGGCACCAATGCCAAAAAGAACAGCAATGCAGACACTCCGTGACGGCTCAACCTTTCAGAGGATGTGTAGAATCCATGCGTTTGCCCACAAATTAGCTACATCATCATTGTCCCTATTGAAATTGCTAGTTTTTTCGCAGAGATCCCGTAAAAGTTCCCCACTTTTCAAACATAGCCATGGCAAAAACCACAGGGTGGAGCTTTCCAAGGCACCCTCCAGGTGGCTCCTGGGACATCACATCCTCTCAGGAGTTGGATTTTGAAGAATGGTGGAGATTAACTGATACCTCCAAAATACAATGATTCTGAATGATTCTGATATGTTTTTCCGAAAGTTGGCCTAGCAACCTGTCTGCCATCAATTTTTCAACATGTGCCATGAATCATTGATCATCAATGCGCCTTATTTTTACCATTAAAATTGCCATCTGTTCGGGGTAAATCCTCCATTTTTGAATCGGGTCCTTGGCGTCCAGCTCCATGGGCTCTACGTCTTCCTCAACTTCGACTTCTGGCACCTCAACCTGTCTGGTTAGACGCCAGGTTGTGCCGTTTGTAACTGGGATGTCTTGGGATATACTGATATACCCTCCGACAAATTGACCATAGCTATGGATAATTGCCCGTTTACAGATGATTTTATAAACATCGTGGTTTTCCATAGCTTTGTTAAATTACCGGAAGGTAGTTGGGATGTAAATCTAAAAACTACCTGATAGCAAGGGACGGGGGTCATATTCGCCCCCTACCCCAACTAGGGTCACATTCGCCCCTACCTCACAATCCTTTCCATTGAATAAGTCCTTCAACCTTTTTGCGTTTGACCCTAGGGGGGCCTTGGGGACATTCGTTAGAGAGGGGACTCGGGGACATTGGCTAGGGGGGGCACGGGGTCACTTGCCTTTCGACTGAATAAGTCATTCAACCTTTTAGGGTTTGATATGGGGACCTGGGGACATTCGTTAGAGAGGGGACTCGGGGACATTCGTTAAGGGGCACGGGGTAACTTGCCTTTCGACTGAATAAGTCATTCAACCTTTTAGGGTTTGATATGGGGACCTGGGGACATTCGTTAGAGAGGGGACTCGGGGACATTGGTTAAGGGGCACGGGGTCACTTGCCTTTCGACTGAATAAGTCATTCAACCTTTTAGGGTTTGATATGGGGACTCGGGGACATTCGTTAGAGAGGGGACTCGGGGACATTGGTTAGGGGGGGCACGGGGTCACTTGCCTTTCGACTGAATAAGTCATTCAACCTTTTAGGGTTTGATATGGGGACCTGGGGACATTCGTTACAGAGGGGACTCGGGGACATTGGTTAGGTGGGGCACGGGGTAACTTGCCTTTCGACTGAATAAGTCATTCAACCTTTTAGGGTTTGATCTGGGGACAAGGGGCATTTAGGGGGGGACCTGGGGGCATTGGTTTGGGGGGCACTTGGGGACATTGGTTAGCCGGGGGCACGATTTGTTGCCTTTCGACTGAATAAGTCATTCAACCTTGTAGGGTTTCATCTGGGGACAAGAGACATTTAGGGGAGAACTTGAGGACATTGGTTGGGGGGAACGGCTTCAGTTGCCTTTGTACACTTGTTCATTACATTGCATCTTAGTTACCACACTGGGTGCCAAACACATTTGCTACCTCTGGCAACAATTCAGTGCAATTTAAGCATCGTCTGCTCCCATGCAGACACTGCAAACCGACCGAAGCCCAGGCTCTCCACGCGTCTAAAACACGGCAAACTGAGCCAAATCTAATGGTGTCTTGGAAAGTTGATTGAAATGGATGTTACAACGTAGCATTCAGAGCGTCTTGGAAGTTGCTTCACATGGCTGATACAACGTAGCATCCAGAGCGTCTTGGAGGTTGATTGAAATGGATGTCACAACCAAGCATCCAGAGCATCTTGGAAGTTGATTGAAACGGATGTTAAAACGTAGCATCCAGAGCGTCTTGGAACTGACTTCGAATGGCGTAGCATCCCAAGAGTCTTGACAGTTGATTGAAACGGATGTTACATCGTAGCATCCACAGCGTCTTGGAAGTTGCTCGAAATGGATGTTACAACATAACACTTGAAAAGGACGTCGTAGCTGACCGTCACAGCTGGAAAACGATCCTTTCGAGACTCTGAAACTATTGCGCCTGCCACGCAAAACGAGGTCGGGTCACATTCGCCCCTACCCTAGAGTCACGTTCGCCCCTGCCTCCACCTTGAGTAGGGGCAAGTGCGACCCCGCATCAGGTAGGGGCAAATGCGACCCCCGTGCCTGATAGCAACCCCCAAAAGATTGAAGTTGGTAGAATCCGATTTACTTTCCTATCTGGTAGGGATTTCTATACATATTACATATATATATATATTATATGGGATAGATTGGGATATACTCCAGTTACCCCTGTACTAACCACACACCCATCTTTTTCCTCCTGTCATGGAGGTGACCTGATGGATGAGTCTCACCTTCTGCTCCGGCCTGCAGTTTCCACAAGCAAATCTGCGCACATTTTGCTCGTGGGTTCTAACTACAGGATAGTAAAATATAATAGTAAAGTGATAAAAGAGGCAACTTTGAAGTGGAGAAAACACATTGATCATTGCTTCAAACTCTTCATATTTTATGCGTGTTCAGCATGTCCACAGTCTCTGTCGCCATAATATCATACTATATAGAACGAACTGTTTGGAAGCTAGCACCGATGTTTCATGGTTTGGTGCACCTCGTGCTTTGGCAAGTCGTCGCCCCAGCGTCATGGGGCGGATGTTCCTGGATGGGAGTCTGCCGCGTCCAGACCTCAGGGAGGTGAACCGCAACACTGCTCGGCTGCTCACAACCATTGAGGCGCTGACATCTCCGTCACTGAAAACCAGTCGCTTGCCAGCATCTTCGAGTCGGCCCTCCGACAGCAGTGGAAGGGACCAAATGGCAATCTGCAAGTGCAGTTATCAAGTGTGGAAGCAGAAAGGATAGTCTCTCAGCAATATCCTTACATTTTTTTAGAAAAAATGAAGAATAGAATCTTCAAGCTGCCTCGACCCTTTTTTCCCCCACAATAATCGCACATTTCGGTCCGAAAGACCTGGAAGACCTCGCCATCCAAGGCCATGTCAAAGACCAGGTCGCTGGTGGCGTTGATCGGTGTCACCAGGCCACTCTGCCAGTGAACGGCCTGGTCTGGGTGACCTCTAGGTCACCTCTGGGTGTTACTTAAAGTTGACTCCCAAATCGATTGGCCTCCCAAATGGAGATTGAAATGATACCAAATGCTTGTGTCAAATCTCTTCATGGAGGTTTTCGACGCTGCTGAAGTGACGGTTTTCAGCCGTTTCTAGTTGAGGAAACACTCCTCGAGCATCCATGCATGCCAAGATTCGCCACCAGTCACCTGAAGTGAACCTGACCTTGGCGGTTTTTTTTTGAACAAAGCCCAGCGCGTTGATGGCATTACATTTATATCATTGAGATACCAGATAGATGCTACCAACTGTCACCAACTGCCACAAGCTTAGGCCATGGGCGAGTAGTTCCAGCGTCCGTCAAATGCAAAGCTGCTTGCGGCAGCAGCGGTGTCCTTCCCATAGGTATCACGGTGGGAGGGAATAAATTGAATAAATATGAATGGGGGTTCAAAATTTTGAGACAACCCCACATCAAGCCAGATACACGGGCTGTTACAGCAGGTGGGGCCATCAAATATCCACAAGTTCTGATGCCAATTGGTTTTGATTATGCCCGGATACCTCGTCATATTACTTCACCACAAGCAATGCCATGCCAGGACTATCAGTCCTTTCTTGGCCAGCAATGACTCCAGAAGTACCTGGTGATCACAAAACTCAAAGCCTCTGCTAAAAATTCCCTCAAAAGCTCTAGAGCACCACCAAAATGACCAGATCCAATATGTACTGGATTTCTGGTTGGGTATTATTCAATATTATTCAATATTAGCAGAAAGGGATTAGACACCAGGTCACTGCTCAGCATCAAATCTCGAAAGCGAGGTATTGAACTTCTTGCACCTCACCATGAAGGCGGGGACATCCATCCAGGCAGGACCCCTGGCCGCCCCTGGCCACCACTGGCTGCTACCCTGAGACTTTCACAACTCATCCAACCTGGCACGAGCTCCACGGCACAGGTCTTGGACAGCAAAGTCAGCATGCAGTGCCTGCAGTGCCCGCAGTGCCATCAGTCTTGAGAAACCTGCCGCGAGACCTGCAGACGCGACCATCTTGGGGGACCACACGAAGATCATGGCCATCCACAGGATCCACAGGATCCACAGGCACCAGGCCTCTGGGCCACCGACATCTGGTGACATCTGACATGTGTTTCAAATTTGTTGTGCACATATGTGCATATGGATAGGTAGAGGTATGTTTAAATGTCCACTACATTGTTGTTTATTTATATGCATCAACGCACAATTATATACAAAATCGCGCATCCCATAAGCCGGAGTTACACCCTGATCAGTGTACTTTAGGACTCCTTACTTCCGTCTCATTCTGGCCTCCTTCAACATCCTTCCGCAGACTTGACATCTGTTGCTCCGCCAGGTTGGCCCACCGGAGCCAATCTGCCGACCCATCCTTGGAAGCATCGCACTGGAAGCGCGGCTCAACCGAGGCTAGGACTAGGATTGTCGTATGATTTTCCATCATTTCCACAGCTCCAACAGCCGAGGATTCCCCCCTCCGCAACTGCCTACTGCCTATTGCCTGGTGCTCATTGAGTCTCCAACGTATCCCAGTGCACCTGGAACACAGCGATGTCACGGGTTGTTTGGCCCAGCGGCCCAGCGGGGCGCAGCCATGCCCAGCCATGCCCAGCCATGCCCAGCCATGCCCAGCCATGCCCAGCCATGCCCAGCCATGCCCAGCCATGCCCAGCCATGCCCAGCCTCTTAGTCCAGCAATGGGCGTGTCAATCACCGCAGCCTCTTCCATGGTAAAGCCAAGTGTTTGCCTCACATCGGGCATCTCGGAAGACAACAAATCCCTGGTGGGCCCCATATCATCCGAAAGCAATGACTGGGCAACTTGGGGTTCATCATTCCACAAAGAAGAGCTGGCATGGACTGGCAAAGCAAGAATGCTTTGAAGTCACTGGCCAAATAACCAAGCCCTTTCATGCTGATCATTAACATCATGCGCACTATATTATATATATATATCTGTGTGTGTATACATATACAGCACATGAACACAGAGAGAGAGAGAGATATATATATATGTATATATATATATATATTCACAAAGTGATTGGCAGCAGTCTCTTCCAATGTTGATCCCTGATCACAACCAAATGTAATGAACCCTGTCCAAGTACCAAAAAGGTTTGAATGCCCTGATCCAAAGATATCCCAAATTGTAAGGTCCCTGACCAAGTAGTCCAACAAGTGAGGCCGCTCACTTTTCTATGGCTCCACAAACGAGGATCCCTCCCACCGCGGCTATCCTGAGCCTCCCCTCGGCTATCGGGAGATATAGGTATCACCGGTTGGTGTGGCATCTTGAACAGGCAGGTTTGAGATTCCCAAAAGTTCTAAAATTGTTCAAGATGTCCGCAGATTTTGGCATTGACAAAGGGTCTTCACCGGATTCACTTCCCAAATTGTCGGCAGTTAAAACGCTCGAAACAAGTCAAAAGCTGTAAACCTGGTCAAGTATTGAAGGACGGCTTGGCTTTTCCAAATTGAATTATGTTTGCAATTAACCAGTCTTACTTCCCCTGATTGGAATCGGTGGACATATGTCGCAGCCACTGCAGTTTCGCTCGGGAATCGGAGCGAGCACGGAGTATCTGGGATTCATCGTGGAGGCTGTATCTCCCAAGGGCCATGCATTCCCGCAGGATACCAGCGTCCATAATTTTCGTGAGGGCATCTGCCAATTGCGCTTGACTGGGGACCCACCTGATCATGATTCCATTATTGAGATGCTCTTTGATTAACTTCGCTTGCAACTGGGTTCTGAACTCTTGACATGATGGTGGTGCGTGTCGGCTTATAAGGTCAAATAGCGATTTGCAGTCCGTGGTTATTATAGATTGGTGGTTATGGTGTTTAAGTGAAGGAATATTGGCCATGTTGATTGGTGGTTTCTGTGTGGTAGTTTCTTCCTCTGGCGGGATTGCGGCAAAAGCAGGAGGAAGCTGCAGCAGGGTTTCATCTGCCAGCTGCCATTGGCATTTTCCATCGCGCAGCCATGCCCAAAACAACCTGATCCAGGACAAAATGTCCACGGCACCAGCTAACGACATTGCCTCTGCTGATAAAGTACTGACAACAACCTTTTGGATCTTCTTGGAATGCCACACTATTGGATTCACAACGCTGCTTTTGTTATCGCCAATGTCTTTGTGGCAAGACATGATCATCATTCCTTGGTGAGAGTCAGGTACTTTTTCAGATGCAAACGATGCATCAGAAAACGCTACAAACCGCAAGTGATCCAATGGAATAGGTTGTATCTTCACTGTCACATCCGCAAACATTTTTGCCTCGTGCAAGGTTTTGTTGGCTTCCAGCAATGTTGCTACGGTGGCTTTATTGATGTTTGATTGTAACCATCCCAAACGGCTCGCTAAATCGGGTCTTGTATTGATGGCTGCATACTGCAAGGATCCAATCAACGCACGCAAGCTTTGTCTCTCTCCTTCGGTAACTGCATCATGTGGTGTTACCTTTCTATCTTTTCCAATGGAAATTGGGTTGATTTCTTTCACATATTTTTCTTGGCTAACCCAAATGGCATTGTCATGTTTTTGAGATATCCGGAGCCCTGTGAAAACAAAGTCTCGATTTTTCTTGCTGCCAAACGGATATTTTGCTTCGAGCTGAGAAAGCTTTGCATGAAATCGTGGTGATCCACAGCATAATCCATCATCGACATGGATCCCGATCAGGCCTTCGGCCCTCTGTTTTTCATCTCTCAAAACAAACAGGCATGGGTCAAAGGGTGCGGCTTCGAATCCTAAGCTCTCGAGGCTCTGCTTGAGTTCTTTGAACCAAAGGAACGGTGCATCCACTCGGCCATATGCCCCTTTTAGGAGTTGAGCTATTTCATTGGGTTGAAGTTTCATCTTGACTCTTAATTCTTCAGGAGGTTCAATACCCAAGATCCTTTTGCTTTGCTCAGTCCCCCGCAAGAAAGCAGTCTTGATGTCAAAGCTACAAATGTCATATCCCAGACTCGCAGCATGCTGGAGAATAAGAACTCTGGACAACTTTGACATTGTTGGCGAGTCTCGAGGGATTTGATCCACCAGAGGATCCTCAAAACCAAGCACTACCAATCGTGCTTTGGGTTTCAACCGAGGCGCCTGTACAGGTGGCCTGATTCCTGAGGTCTTTGAGTCCTGTTGACTCCCTTCTGAATTGTCAGCATCTTTCCAAGTGAGGATCCAACGACATCTCATCACATTTTCCCTGGGGACCTTATTGCGGAGGATTTTACATACTGTTTCTGTGGACAACCAGCTATCTATCTCTTTGGCCTTGGCCTCTTCAAACAATTTTCGGTCATGGGAGTTCAGCTGTGACATTCTGACCTCACTGCGTTGTTTCTTTGCAGCTGATACCAAAAACAGCATTTCTTCAGGTCGGGTTTCCTCCCGCCAGTGATTGATGTCCTGTTGATTGATGTCTACTTCGAACTTGAAGCCCTGGTTTTCCTGAAGATGATAACATGGGATCTCTTCGGCATACAGGCCTCCTTCTTCATCGGAAGTGTCGGGAACTGGTACCTCAACGGGTGCATTGATGTCAGGAATTATTATCGGGTTATCGTTATTGGGGTTACTGGAGTTAATGGATTTGACATCAGGTTCATTGTCAGGTTGGTCCGAGGGATTGGAAATTGCTGGTGACATGTCAGATGGATTTTCTCCATTTGGATTGCTGTTTCTGGGCACGGTCACAGTTTCCGCACGAACATCATTGGCTCGGGAAGGCTCGGTTGAGCCGCTCGCTCGGGCATCTTGGCTACTGGGAAGCATGTCGTGGTATGGACACCACCATGACTTGGGCGAATGCTTTGGTCATCTGAAGGAACTTGAGAAACTGGGTGAGGAGCATGTCGGTACTCTTCCATGGCTGACAAGCTTCGGACATATTCTGGAGGTACCCTATATAGTTTATGGTTACGGGTGACCCATACCACATTCTGGTTTTCTTGGATTATCACCTGCATGGGACCTATCCAGCTACCATCGGCTTCCCCTTTCTTTTTCCAAATCATGACCCATTCCCCTTTTTCATACACCCCCCGACTGGGACGACTTCGATGGACAATTGCCCAACGGAGAGTTTGGTCATTATCAACCTCAGCAAATGCCTTCCTGGCTGCTTCCCTTGTGGCAAGATCTTGGCGAAATCGGAGACCATCAGGCATACTTGACAATGCGCGCGCATGAGCTGCAATGGTGGGATCGGATGTCACTGACCCTGGGACCCGAATGCCTTTTCCAAAAACCAACATTTCAGGAGGATATCCTCGGTGTTTGCTCCATTGGTTCTTTGTGCTTGTAACATGGCTCAAAGCTACTGACAGTTGGTCATAGTTGAGAATCGGGTTTTCATGATGAATTTTATTGAGCATCAATTGTATGATTCCCCCATGTCTCTCAGTGCGTGCATTCTGCCAATGGGCTTCAGCTGCACACGTCCTACAGCGCACACTGTGGCGTTGAAGAAACTGGCTGAATTCCTCGGAGTTCATCTCTGTCCCTGAGTCTACACAAAGCAGTCCTGGTGGACCCGCCCAATTGAACCAACCTGTGAGCAAGGCCTTGCATGCATGTTCAGTGGTGTGTGCTGGGGCAACCACGGCTGTCTGAAACAGAGTGCTCTGGTCAAGGAAATGATAAAAGAAAAATTGGTCACCTTTTGAATTTTTCCATACCACTCCATCCATGGACACAATATCGCCAAAATCACATGGTTCATGTATGGCGCTAGGCCTTGAGATGGCAGGACCTTTGGTTTCCTGACAGGTTGAGCAACGGATGTCACTCACTGCTTTGGTGATCCGTTCAGGGCAATTCAGCTGTTTGCAAAACTCTCGCAACTTCATGGCGCCGGGATGTCCTAAATTCCGGTGCAGCTTGAGCAACCAATTTTGTTCTTCGGCACCCAACTGCTGAAACAAAGGACCATGCTTTTGACTTGCCAAATCAATGTGGTGAGGGGTAATTGATTCAGTGACATCTTCTGGTTCAGGGTTGATGTGATCTTGATGAGGTGCGGAGGTGTCGGAAAGTGGCCTTTCATGAATATTTTCGTGGCTGTTTGTAGTTCTATCCGGCTGCATCGGAATGGTCTCAGGGCTTTCTCGGTCATGGCAATGACGCTTTGCGTCAGGAATCTGAGCTGCATCAAGCACTCTTCGCTGGTTGGAAGGATTATTGGTGTCGGCAGAAGCGGGAACTGATGGCTGGGCTGCGGCAGACTGCTCCAGTGGTTGAGCTGAGGCGAAAACGGTCATGCTCAGTCTAGCTGCTACACTTTTCTTTCTCAAACCTCTATTGGACAGATTTTCCCAAGTTTCCCACTCATCTGCATGGATGTCTTCTGTCTTTCGGCGAATGCAAATTTGCCTTCTTAAAGGGGCAACACCATGTGGGATATCCATGTTTGGTCCAACATATCGGTCAGTGCCTCTGCAGAGGACGGCATGGTGAATTTTGTGGTAAGGGCACATGTCCTGCACAAGCTTCAAAACATCACCTGAGTCAATCACCTTGGTGCCTACCCGTGGTGCTACTTGATTCGCCCGGCTCATTACTATCTGCCAATTGACACCAGAGCTCTCACGGCCAAAGCGTGCTTCAATGGCACTAGGGCTCAATTTGCTTCCAAGTCTGCGCTTCTTGGTGGGGTGTTCTTCAGCATTTTCAGTCAAAGCATGCTCTTGGGGTTTCTGATCATAAATCAAAACCTTGGCAACTTGTTTGGCAAATTTCCGGGGATAGTTCTCGGTCCATTGGGAGAGTCTAACCGTCTGTCCATCAACCAAAGTGTTTCCAGAGATGTTTCGATGGTGATGATCGCCAGAGCACAGCTTTCCATGAAAACTCACATGAAGACCAAGCGAAGTGGAACAAACGGTCAGCCGCTTTCGGATGGGTTCATGCGTAGATGGATCACGCAGGTTTCCCACTCGGCAAAGATCAAACTCGTTCCAGTAAGTGTTGTCTAGGATCTCACTCATACCTGGAATTCGCCAGTAGGCGGAACCACGAGGTTGTTCCAGATCAAAATGGCCATGGTTATCCAATTGAAATCTGAAAAGCACAATCCCCAATGCTGCTTGCCAAAGGTTGTCAATTCTTTGTTGCATGATCTCTTCATGGCTTTCAATTGATCGAGACATATTGAAATTGCTCCATTGACACCATGGTTTACATTCAGGGCTGTACCACACATGTTTCGGTTTGCGAACTACCAATTGGGTGAACAACCGCTTGCGACCCTCTGGAGTTTGCAAATCTCCTTGAACCCTGCCAAAGCGTTCGGCTTTGCCACCAAGCTTTCTGACCTGGCTGGTCAGCTCGCTATCAGCTGAGCACATGACTTCCAAGAGGTCCAATCGCGGCTGATGGTGACGATGGCTGGATTCCACCTGATGTATGACCTGTTGAAGTTCCTGCTCAAGTTTCTTCACCAACTTTCTAACATGGGACAAGTAATGATGAGTTTGACCATCATGTATGTACTCAAAGTCCATGTCATGAGTGATGGAATCCTTCTTGGCACATGACTTCGCAGATCCTACGGTTCGCTCTTGACACTCAGATTTCGAACATGATGCAACAGCTCCTGCATGGACATCTCGATCTGAGTCATACGGCTGGCGAGGTTCTGGTTTTGCAAGGTCAGGCTTGTCACCTGATCCTCCACCTGAATCAGTTTGCCCACTCCGGCCATCTCGAACTCCTGTGTCATGTCGGTTTCTGAGATCTGATCCCAAGATTCGGCTTCTGCTTCGGCAGTTTTCGAGGTCTCCTTCGGGATCATCTTCCTGGGCATGGGCTTGAATTCCTTCTCGATCTCTTGGTTCAGGCATTTCTCGACGTACTGAATGTACATCTGGTGAGCCGGCTTCGTGCTCTTCTCGTACGTCTGCACAAACCAATCCGTCCAAGCATGGTCTTGGAACACCTTGGGAAAGCTTTGGCCCAGTTTGGCCTTCCCGAAACTGATCTTCTCTTGGGACAACTGCTCTAGCGTCATCGCTTTGATCTTGGTGATCTCGATCTGACCATCGGAGGTCTTCTGGCTTTCTCGGAATGTCTGCAGCTTTTGGGCAACGCTGGACATGTTGAGAAACGGTCACGGCAGTCACAGAGGCTGAGTCTTGAACACCGTCAAAACTTGCTGAGGGCGGTACATTCACACTCGGCATAGACATGGTGGCTTCAGGAAACAACATGCTGGCATTGGGCACTTTTGGACAGTGATCCTGTTGTGGCATGTTTACCTTATCATGAGACCCTTCCATTGGCGGTGTTTCGTCTCCCTGAGAGCTGACATGCGCTTGCTTTTCAACATCCTCGGCCTGAAAGATCAATCCGCTTATGGACGGCGTCTGTGCTTGCTGGCCATGGGACTGTGAGCACCACAACTGGTTGAGATCCATCATCAGCAAGTTTTTTGGGTTACGCTCCACTATTAGTTCCCTATCCAACAATTTACTCCAAAGACTTCCATGTTCAGTGTCGATGATGGCTTTGATTCCTTGGAGAAAAGAACTGGATAACAGAAATGGAGTTCGACCAGGGACAATTGCGATGCGAAACTGTGCTTTTCCCAATGGTAGCAACAATGCGTGCTTACATGTCAGAGTCTGCTGGTTGCCAAATCGAAATGTCAGGTTGCATGACGTTCTCTTGACCTGGGACTTGATATCTTGCGGAAGTTGTTGCAACAATTCAGGAACTTGCTTATCCCCAATTACCGTTTGTGAGGCTCCCAAATCAATGATCCCAACAGTACCTGTAGTCACAAAATTGGCTTCCAGGAAAGACTCCGGTGAATCACAGAAATCGGATGCGCTCTTCGGCAGCTCCGGATGCTTTGGCTCAGTGTTGGAACCTACGGAATGGTGATCAGAAGACTTCAAAGTCCTCAGGGTGCGTCGCCACTGGACGGCGAAACGGCTGGCAAACTGCTTACACTTGAGACTATATCTATTCCCATGATACTTACCATTCCCATTATTCCCACTTTGAACCATGAAACAACTGTGAACATCGGTGTCCTGAGTTTCGGCCAGGGCAATGTGTGCAATCTCAACAGGGGTTTCTTCGGCAATGACAAACGACGTGGGCACGGAACTGGATGAGGCATTTGTCGATGTGGCACCAGAACCTTGAGGTCTCTGCGGGCACTCGTTCTTCCAGTGACCTTTCTGCATACAAATCCTGCAGAAAGAATTTGCAATTCTTCTGGCCAGCGATCCACTGCCAGAGAATGGACTTCGGCCTTTCCCTTTTCCTTTGCCCTTTTTCCCATTGCCTTTGTCAAAACGTTTCGACACAGGCCAAAACCCTCTCACCTTGACTCGTTCAGACAATCGGCGTCTGGCCTCTTGGTATGCTGAGTAGTATGCACACAAATCACTGTCAGCCTGGATGGTATCGGCAATGGAATCTTCAAACTGCATGACAAGAATGGCATCCTCATCGTTCTCGGCTGCAAGAATTTCCAGGGCTTCATCATCAGGCAGGTCATCTTGCATGGCATATACCTCACCTTCTACATCACCTTCATCATCAACATGCATGACTGTGTGGTCATATGTCTTGCCTACTTTGTCACGTCGGAGACCAGTGTATTCCTGAAAGAAACCAGACCCCAACAGACGAATGGCCGATGTCACCCTCTCCATGGTGAGCTGACTGCCCTCTTCGGCTTTGGACTCGATGATGACACGTTTCTTGTCATCAGCTGCAAGTCGGCTGCCTCGCAACACTATGTATGCTTGAAGTTCCTTCAGATCCACCTTCTTCGACAAGAGTTCTGTCCACGTCACATCACAGCGGGACAGGTAACTGTCAGAGGTTTCATCAGACTTTTGGGAGCTTCGATACAAAGCACGTTCAGCAAGTTCGAATTTCTTTTCCAGTGGAATCTGACCCCATGTACCACCAACGATTTCGACCAAACGTTGAATCCCTTTTTCTGAATTGACCAGCACTTCACCCCGCAAAAGTTGCAGTTTCTGGTATGCTGTTCCTTTGCATCCTAGGATCAACCTCGTTGCCAGTCCATTGAGTTTATCAGGGGGCCATGTATTCAACAATAACTCCACCTTACTTGTCCAAATCTCCACATTGTCCACTGATGGATCAAATCCAGGCACTAAGCTCGCCAACTCCTTAGGCACATAGTTTGAACCACCACCTGAAGCTTCGCTCATTGCTCGGCCACAAGGATCACGTCAAGGCACCCGGTGCTTTGCTAATGGTCCCTGGGGAGCACGGTCAAATCGACCAGGTAGCTCCGCTACCAATCACAAAGTGATTGGCAGCAGTCTCTTCCAATGTTGATCCCTGATCACAACCAAATGTAATGAACCCTGTCCAAGTACCAAAAAGGTTTGAATGCCCTGATCCAAAGATATCCCAAATTGTAAGGTCCCTGACCAAGTAGTCCAACAAGTGAGGCCGCTCACTTTTCTATGGCTCCACAAACGAGGATCCCTCCCACCGCGGCTATCCTGAGCCTCCCCTCGGCTATCGGGAGATATAGGTATCACCGGTTGGTGTGGCATCTTGAACAGGCAGGTTTGAGAATATATATATATATATATCACCTTTGTGTACAGCCATCTGACAAGAAGTTGCCAAATCACAGACTCTCCTGCCTGTATGGCTCAATCGCTTGGCGCCACCACGTGGTCCTCGCCGCCGGTGCCACCTCCTGGGCTCCATCCCTCCGGCGCAAGCCCAGGTGCGACAGGGACTCAGCCAGCTTGGGCGCGTTGAAAAGGAGGTCCTGCAGGCTGAATTCACTGGGCTGGAACCCGCACATATACAGATACAATTAAAGTCAATTAAATAAACTCAAGTAGAGCTTTTCCAGGATGTCATGGATGATCTTCACCTCATTAATCACGATTTCCAGTTTTCTTACTTTTGTCCAGTTTGGGGGTGCTGTGTGCAGAAATTCTGGAGATTACGAGGGTGTGCTAGACTTCCACACTTTGTCACTTGCACAAGTCCACCGAAAGCTGCAGGCATCAGACCGAGGCACGTTTTTCTGTCAGAAAGCTAGGCGGAGTCCAAACTTCCCGGAGTCTTTGACCCATCAGATTTTTGATGCTGAAAACCAACATCAAGCGGCTGCCACTGTCGTTTGACGTGGCCTTCCACCACTGACGTTGGTTACTTCTTGAAAGTCAGGAGAGATGCAAGCGCACCCTTGCCCTCAGGAGCTTGCTTTGGACCTGGCGATTCTGGCGATCATCAAAGTAGCAGGGAATGACCAGTCGGATCTTTCAACCTGAGTGATATGAGATAAATTCTGAATATAAAAATCTCGAAATCGGGCAGAACATTCGGACATCCGACATCAAAGTGGTCATTTCGACCCATTGGTGACCTGGACGCAATGGAGAGGCTGGCACTGGACGCAATGGAGGGGCTGGCATTCCAGTGGCAGTTCCACTTCCATTGGATTTGTGCTTCTCCACGGCACTGGAGCCGGTGCTGTCCTTGGAGGTTACCACACTAAGTGGGTAGCTATGGATCAGAAGTGGAGCACTTGTTTTGCACCTACAAAAATTGTACTATGCTGTTGTGAGTGCGTAGTGTTTAGTGACGTTTAGTGCTAAACTGCTAAACTAACTATCCATTGTGCCATGTTGGTCAAGGAGTCAAGGACTTCTGGCACATAATGTGCAGCTGCGGCACAAGACTTTGAGTGCGCCTCAGTGGCAGGTGTTCACCTTGAACCGATTCCACACAATAAAAGCGTCGGACCAACCTGGAAGCATCTGGAAGCTATGTCCCGCAATCGACCACCACTGCCGAGCATCTTCGACGCCCAGAACTTGGCTGCTGTCTCCCGCTTTTTTGTAGGAGACGTGTCTGTGATGATCATGTAACCAGAATGCTCCCTCTGAACCCGCCCCTGCGAAGGGTAGAAGATTTTGCTCTCAAGGTTCCAAGCAAAGTACTGGTGTAAGAAATCTTTAGCAAACCATTGGTCTCTTCTCGCAAAAGTTTCAAGGAAACGTGCTCACAAACAAAAAGTTTCAGATATTCACTTTGAATACAAGGGTCTAGACATGTCTAGACAGCAATCTTGAGGATCCCTGAAGATCCCAAACTGCCTTGCACAGAAACCGTGCAACGGCAGCCACGCCGAGGACCAAAAAAATCAGGAAGGTAGAGTCCGACCTGTGGAAGCTGGGAGGCTGCCAGCTCGCTGCTCAACTTTCCTCCAAGGATGAATTTTTGTTCAAGCCAAGGTGCTCTGCTTCCTCACCTTCTTTCTCTTCTTCATGTTTCTTTTCTGCATGCCTGGAACATGGCTGCATTCACAGTTCCTACACTGTTGTGTTCAAAGCAGAACAGGGTTCCAAATGACTAGACAGCATCATGTAGCCAGCGTTAACAACCAAAAAAACAAATGGTGGCAACAACAGGAATTCTTGACTTGAGGTTGCCGAGTTGCTCTTTCATTTTCTCTTCCACTTCCTGTGCGATCTTATCTCTCAACCGGGCTTCCTGCAGCGGAACAGGAACCAGCTTTCGATCAAAAAAAGAGCTGGCACCGCCTCGTCCTCCCCGTCGTCACTTGTCGGAGGAGATGGTGATCCGGCCTCCATAGCAAGTGATGATAAACCACATTTTTTTTTGCCCCAACAGCCGGCCCAGCACGTTCGCTCCGGGCAAAAGCAGCCAAAGTTACATGATGTACGTGGTCTAATTTCAAAAGGTTTATCTGAGGTACGTGAGACAATGTGGGAGGCAACGTGTTGGCACTCACTTGCTGTCAGCAGACACAAATTGTACCACAATGCGTGTTAGGATTGCTGCAACGTCTGCTGTATTGAAGTTGCTTGGTTTTGGGTGGCGCCCCACATTGCTGCATAGGGCACAGACATTTGCAGGAGGAAAGGCCCACCAAGCAGATTCAAATGGCAGCAACCGTCGTGAAAACCCCAGCCGGCATACCAACGAACAGCAGATCTGAATCCAGGGGTATGTGGAGGAGGCGTTTTGGCTTGTCCCAAGGGTTTTGTTCAAAACTTCCTTATCAGACTGTGAGGTTTGTTCCAAGGACCGGGGCAATTTAGCTTGTGCGAGTGTTCTGCACTGAGATGATGCAACATCACTTTGGCTGGATGATTGCCGCGAAACTTTTGTCTGCAAACGTGCCCCAGAAAGGACCAATATCGGCAGAGATATTGTATGTCAGCTGCCCAACGGTGTCATTTGCAGAATCCATCTCTTCACGACATGCCGGCAAAGGCGCAGAAGCTGGTGGTGAGCCTCCTCATCTGTCTGTAAGGGATTGCAAGGCCCATGCAGACAGTTTTGCGGGTATCGCACTTCAAGGCTTATGTGATGCATCCCGGGTCCCCGGGTCACCCTGTACTCCGCTGTACCTTGAAAGTCGTATCAAATATCGTCCTGTGTTAGGTGTTGAAGTTCCAACTATTGCTGCGCAAATCCAACTTCCTGTGGATCAAGTCATGTCAACTCCCAATCGCAACTCATCCTCAATTCCTGGTGCAGCTATGCTTCAATCCCAATTTGTATACGAGGGCTCCGAGCTGACGTTTGCCCGAAACCGACGGAATTCTGTGCGGGACTGCAATCTTTGCGTTGCTTCGGCGCGTGGTTTTTTTGTCCACTGCAAACGGGCAAAATCTTATTTATATTGCCTGCATTTTGTTACATTTTTGCGCTTCATAAGGCTGTGCCGAAATCACCTTCTGAATCATATCAAGCACACCCTCCGCAATTTGCAGGGTTTCCAGCCTTATGCGAAAATTCTATTAAAGAAACACGGAACCCGAAAAGAACCCAAAATTGCCCAACCATAAAAGCCCCCAAACGAACCTAAGTAAACCCTAAACCAACCCAAAAGTAGCTAAACCCCCAATGAAACTTTGGGTTAATGTCCGCCCCAGAGGGAGATATTAGATCATACTTCTCTTGTAATCATGTATGTAGTTGTGTGCATGTGTGTGTGTGGTATGGTCTGGTCTTGGTCTGGTATGGCCCTTGACCATGGCCTCAGCTTCTCTGGTGTCAGCAGCTGCTGCCAGGAAGGTGGAGGGTTCGGGCCTCAGGTGAAACAAAATGCAATGCTTTGGGCGGGTGTTTTTTTTTGGGGGGGGGTCTGCTTCAGGAAACGCCCTAACGGATCCAAATTTCGCAGCTGGTGATTCATGATCTTTTGACTGTGACTCTGCCATTGTAGCTTGCAAGCAGCGAAGCCAGCTCTGAAGGCTCTACAACTGGAGGAGCCTGGCTCAGGGCTGAACAGCCGGGGCCTGTAGGCCCAACAGGTTTGATCCCTCCCTGCGGCCGCCTCACCCGAGACATGCCAAAAGAGAATCGCCAATGCCCACCAGCGGCACATGGCCTGCAGTAGAAACGGAAACCCAATCGGAATGTGTATGTATATATGCATATATGATCTATATATTCTTCGAAGACATCTTCTGGATGGATCATGTTCAATACATTCTTGTGGGGGAATATGTTTACCTCAATTTGTTGCTACATATTTTCAAGTGGGGCCCCAAAACAAAGCCACCCCAGCCAAAATAAGAGTTGAAGGGAGCTCACGTTGACATCCAATATAGGGATGTAACCTGATGTAACCAATTTAACTTCCGCTGCAACTGCGTTCAATGTCTTAATCATGTTTCGAAGGTGTCAAACGGAAAGCATACATGCCAGGTATAGACACGATGGTGCCAAGATTCTTACATGTGCAAACGTATAGAATAAGTTTTCTCCCTCACATTTTTTGCTGCGGGCACGGAAGGTCCCCATCCTCGCCGTCACGGTGCCAAGGAAGGCACGAACCTCGTCATTTCACGAGGTCGTCCCTGGGTGAGACTCGTCCATGCTGTTTACCTCCGCCGCGCTAGCTGCAAGATCAGCAGAGGTTTCTGAAACCTCTGCACTTTTCGCCTTGGATTTGTTTCTATTCTCTCTCCATCCTCGCATGATGGCCTTCAATAAGTGAGCCATGCGAACATTTTCTTTCTTCTGCTGAAACTCACGTTCACCTTGAGCTCTCTGCCTGGCTGCATAATAAGCATGTTGCCTTTCACGCTCCAAGCTGCAGATCTTCTTCTGTTCCTGCTGGAACAAGCGTCTTGCTCGTAGTGGTCGGGACTTTCTTGCCCACTTTTCTTTACGTTTCTCCACTTTTTCCTTCGTGTCTGCCCGCTGAGTTTCAAAGTGTTTTTGCATGTCGACTTTGCCACATGCTCGGTCTAAAGCCTCTTGGCTCAAAATGAAATCGAAATGCGACTCATACCTGGCCCTGCGCAGCAGGATGTTTCAGGAATTCATATTGCAAAACCCCCAGTAAGGATTCATTTACCTATAACTGCAACCATCAAAGCAAACATAAAAGTGGACGGACAGACCCAATAATGGAAAATTGCTATAAAATATAGGCACCTATGTGTATACAGTGTATGTATATATATATATATATATATGTGAATCATATACATATATGTCAAATATATTTTAATACATATGTATATATATATATATAATAGTCACTTATCTATCTATCAAATCACTGTCTGTCAAATCACCACCTACCATCTATTCACTCAAAAGTCTCTATGGGTCTGTCGAAATTCTATGCGATAATCGCGTATCACAACTCGTAAACCAGTAGTACCGCACAAGGCGGTGGCGGAAGTTTCAAAAAAAGGAAACCTAATAGGGGAGGTTGGTTGTTGTGCCTCACGGACGGCAGAGCGAATCCACTGATGGACCGACAGGTGGTTGGAGTTGTGTTTTTTGGAATGGTTGCAATGGTTGCAGTGGTCACCTTACCACAAACTGCTGGATGTAGTGCGGTGTAGCGGTTGCAGTTGTAGTTGCAGTTGTAGCTGTAGTTGTAGTGTAGCGTAGTGTAGTGAAGCTGTAGCTGTAATGTAGTGTAACTAGCGTATTTGCGAGCGCAGTTTCAGTTGTAGTCGTGGTGTGGTGAAATTAGTGTAGTGTAGTGCAGCGTAATGTCGTGTAGTGTTGTGTAGTGTAGTGTGCTATAGTGTAGTGTAGTGTAGTCTAGCGTAAGGTAATGTAGCTGTAGTTGTCATGTAGTGCAGTGTAATTAGTGTAGTGTAGTGTAATGTAGTGTAGCGTCGCGCAGAGTAATTAGTGTAGTGTAGTGCAATGTAGTGTAGCGTAGTGTAGTGTAGCAAGCGTCGTGTAGTGTAGCGTAGTGTAATGTAATGTCATGTAGTGGTAGTTGTAGTTGTAGTTGTAGTTGTAGTTGTATCTATCTATCTATCTATCTATCTATCTATCTAAACTATCTAATCTATCTAATCTATCTATCTGTCTATCTATCTATCTATCTATCGATCTATCGATCTATCGATCTATCTATCTATCTACCTACCTATCTATCTAATCTAATCTATCTATCTATCTATCTACCTATCTATCTATCTATCTATCTATCTAAATCTAAATCTAAATCTAAATCTAAATCTAAAATCTACCTACCTACCTACCTACCTACCTATCTATCTTTCTTTCTTATCTTTCTTTCTATCTATCCATCTATCCATCTATCCATCCATCCATCCATCTATCTATCTGTCTATCTGCAAGCTTGAAAACGCAGCTATTTGCGACACTCCCTCAATTTTTGAACTTGACAACATCCACAACGAGAAATTCTGCGAGACTTCCTCAATTTTGGAACTTGACACCATCCAAAACGAAGCAATTCTCCGAAACCTCCTCAATTTTTGAACTTGCCATCATCAACAACGAAGCAATTCTGCGAGACTTCCTTCAAAAATGGAAAGTTGGGCCTCGTACCAATGCGTTTTGCGATTTTTCCACTCCACCTGTCTAAAGTGCTGCGCCTGCCCCGAAAAAGTGATGCCAGGTCATACGAAGTGCTGCACCTGTCACGCAAAATCACCTTAACAAACCTGCAGATCTGATGCTCCAAAATGCAACCCATCTCAGGAAATCAACGCCTGGATCTCCTAACAACTCTGATGAACATGTCTCTTGTACTGCGCCTGCCACGGAAAATGCATCTTTACAGATCCTCTTCAAGAGTCCCACGCCTGCCATCGTTTTTGAAAATGCTACAAAAAAAAACCCTCACGGTTTGCTCACTTTTGACAAGGTGCACAATCCCTCGCGCCTGCCACGCAAAACGGCGCTTCAATGTCCAAAAGTGGCGCGAGCATGTGGTGTTTTGTACATTTTCACTTCGCAATTTGCTTCGCGCCACGACGGCGTGCACTTTTTCGACATCGCAACTTCTAAAAGTGCTCTGGAGCTGAGGTGTTTTGTAGATTTTGGCTTCGAAATGTGCTTCGCGCCATAGCGGCGTGCACTTTTTCGACATCTCAACTTCAAAAAGTGCTCCGAACCTGAGGTGTTTTTAGCTTTTTCACTTGCAAATGTGCTTCGCGCCACAACGGCGTCCAACTTTTCATCTCTCATCTGAAAAAAAGGCTCCGCACCCGCCGCTTTAGCGAGCCTACTTTTCGACCCTCCGGAGCCTAAAATTATTGGAGAAACACAGTGAAACGCGACTTTCCTACATTTTCGCGCGCCTGAATCTTCTTTCTTCTGAATTTCTCTTCTTTGATCTTCTTTCTTCTTCTCTTCTCTTCTCTGACTCTTCCCATCTCTGCTTTTCATCTCTCCATATTGTCGGAAGTTTGACTTCTAAACTTCCTTCGGTTAGATGTCATATATTATCAAAGGAAGTTGGGAAGCAATACTTCCGAGTTACGAATGACTTTTACTTGATGGAATTGACTATGATGAAGGGTGGTGCGCGAGTGAGACTTGACCTTGATGAAGGGTGGTGTGAGACTTTACACTACATAACAATACATCAGAAAAGAACTGACTTTGATGAAGGGTGGTGTGAGACTTTACACTACATAACCATACATCAGGAAAGAACTGACCTTGATGAAAGGTGGTGTGAGACTTTACACTACATAACCACACATCAGGAAAGAACTGACCTTGATGAAGGGTGGTGTGAGACTTTGCACTACATAACAATACGGCTGGGGTCGTTTGGTTCCTTCTATGTGTTTTGCAACAATGCTTGTTCCTGTGTGCGTAGTTCTATGCGTTTCTTGAAGCTGTGGTGCCAGATCGCATTGGAATGGCTGCATGATGTTGCATGGGCTTTGTGTGGGGGAGGAAGCCGGAGCACGAAACCTTGTGTTTTTCCGTGTAAAGTGGCTGCAGCCGGCGATGAAAGGTACCTCGTCTGTGCGGCGGTTGCGGCTGCGGGCTTTTCTGTGGCGAATTGTTCCTCCTATGTGTTTTGCAACGAGTGGTTGTTCCTGTGTGCGTAGTTCTATGCGTTTCTGGAAGCTGTGGTGGCAGATCGCATTGGAATGGCTGCATGATTGTTGTCATTTGGTGTTGCTACGTCCGTAGATAGGTGCAGGTTTGCTACGGGATGCTGCGAAACGCAGTGTAATGGCTGCATGAATGTTGCATGGGCTATGTTTTGGGGAGGAAGCTGGAGCACGAAACCTTGTGTTTTTCCGTGTAAAGTGGCCGCAGCCGGCGATGAAAGGTACCTCATCTGTGCAGCGGTTGCGGCTGGGGTCGTTTCTGTCGCGAATTGTTCCTCCTATGTGTTTTGCAACGAGTGGTTGTTCCTGTGTGCGTAGTTCTATGTGCTTCTTGAAGCTGTGGTGGCGGATCGCATTGGAATTGCTGCATGGTTGTTGTCATTTGGTGTTGCCACGTGCGTAGATAGGTGCAGGTTTGCAACGGGATGCTGCGAAACGCATTGTAATGGCTGCATGAATGTTGCATGGGCTATGTTTTGGGGAGGAAGCCGGAGCACGAAACCTTGCGTTTTTCCGTGTAAAGTGGCTGCAGCCGGCGATGAAAGGTACCTCGTCTGCGCGGCGGTTGCGGCTGGGGTCGTTTCTGTCGCGAATTGTTCCTCCTATGTGGTTTGCAACGAGTGGTTGTTCCTGTGTGCGTAGTTCTATACGTTTCTGGAAGCTGTGGTGGCAGATCGCATTGGAATGGCTGCATGATTGTTGTCATTTGGTGTTGCCACGTCCGTAGATAGGTGCAGGTTTGCTACGGGATGCTGCGAAACGCAGTGTAATGGATGCGTGAATGTTGCATGGGCTATGTTTTGGGGAGGAAGCCGGACCACGAAACCTTGTGTTTTTCCGTGTAAAGTGGCTGCAGCCGGCGATGAAAGGTACCTCGTCTGTGCGGCGGTTGCGGCTGGGGTCGTTTCTGTCGCGAATTGTTCCTCCTATGTGTTTTGCAACGAGTGGTTGTTCCTGTGTGCGTAGTTCTATGCGCTTCTTGAAGCTGTGGTGGCAGATCGCATTGGAATGGCTGCATGATTGTTGTCATTTGGTGTTGCCACGTCCGTAGATAGGTGCAGGTTTGCTACGGGATGCTGCGAAACGCATTGTAATGGCTGCGTCAAGCTCGGGCCGCGGCTGCATGCATAATACTATTGTCTTTTGCAGCTGAGCATCGTAAATCGTATTGGAATGGCTGCATCCACGCTGCGATAGTGATTTGTCAGCAGATTTTCTCAACTTTGGCGCTAGTGATTTTCCTTTTAAAAATCCTTTTAAAAAATGCTTCAAAATCGTCTTTTTTCTGCTTTGGCATCGAGATCCATCCGGTTTTGGAGCTGCAATTTGCGACACCGTTGCGCGTATTTCTATTGTGTTTTGCAACTCAGCCTCTGCAGATCGCATTGTAGTGGCTGCGTCAAGGTTGCTCGGTGCCGCGGCTGCATGCGTAATACTAATACTATTGTCTTTTGCAGCTGAACAGCGTAATTCGTATTGGAATGGCTGCATCCAGGCTGCGATAGTGATTTGGCAGCAGATTTTTTCAACTTTGGCGCTAGTAATTTTCCTTCTAAAAATCTGTTTAAAAAATGCTTCAAAATCGTATTTTTTCTGCTTTGGCGTCGGGATCTGGTTTTGAAGCTGCAATTTGCGACACCGTTGCGCGTAGTTCTATTGTGTTTTGCAACTCAGTCTCTGCAGATCGCATTGTAGTGGCTGCGTCAAGGTTGCTCGGTGCCGCGGCTGCATGCGTAATACTAATACTATTGTCTTTTGCAGCTGAACAGCGTAATTCGTATTGGAATGGCTGCATCCAGGCTGCGATAGTGATTTGTCAGCAGATTTTTTCAACTTTGGCGCGGGTAATTTTCCTTTTAAATAAGTACTGGGAAGCGAATAATTTTTAGTACAAAGTAGTACTGGGAAGGACTGGGGTGTGGAGTGTGAAGTGTGGAATCTTAAGAGTACAGTGTGAAGTGAAGTGTTGACTGCGAAGGGTGCAGTGTGAAGAGTGCAGTGTGAAGAGTGCAGTGTGAAGTGTGAAGACTGTCAAGTGTGAAGTGTGACGTGGAGCTTCAAATGTGACATGTGAAACAAGACACCAGTTTCGCAGAGTGCACGCACGCACGGGCTTCGCTGGCGCACGGCGCATGCAAGTTCTATAGATGAGAAAAGTCTTATATATATCTTTAAGGCAACTTCCGCCCCGCCTCGTGCGGGTACTACTGGTATACCATATCTTCCATTTCATGTATGCATGCTATATCCAATATCCAATATATACGATATGACATAAATAATCACACTTAATTACCCATATCACATTTCATATAATTATACATCATATCTCACATATTATTCTTCAATTGCATGATATGTGGGTGTCTTAAAATGGGAGTACCCCTAAAAACAATCCATTTTAATAGGATTTTCCATTATAAATCAGAAAAACCATCCAGCTATTGGGGTAAAACATCCGCCTTCGTTGTCGACTCTTTTCCCGTTGATCCTTGGCCGCTTCCTGTCGCAGGTGCAGCTCGAATCGCCTGCGTCGCTGCTCCTCGGCCAGGCGGTCGACCACCAGCACCGTGCGCGAGGCGTCGAAGACGCGGCGCCGCTCGCGGCGGTGCAGCTCGTGAACCTAAATGGAGCTGGGTAGGTGGGTGAGTAATATACGCTGATGATGTTATTACATAATATATATATATACATATATTATAAACATATGTATATATACATATATATATATATGTATGTATATATATATACATATATATATACATATATATATACATATATATGTGTGTGTGTACGTGTGGGCGTGTGTGTACATGTGTGTGTGTGTGTGCGTGTGTATGTGTGTATATGTATACACCTACCCATATGTGTGTACGGATATACGATCCATATATAGATGTGAACCATCTATTACAACAGATACCAAGAGACCTAGAGTACTGAGTACTGTATATGTGTGTGTGTGAATGCCTCTACCCATTCGCTTTGAAACAAGTTCTACCTCAGCCTGACTTCAGGGATATGAAGTTTGTCTTTTCCTTCCTCTATCTATGTGCGTGTTGCTTCATGGACATAACCTACCCAATATACTTTGTGTGTGTGCATAGGTATCCATATACACAGTGGCCCATCTTTGCTGTTTTCGGGAAGATAAATTCCGGAAAACACACATCTTTAAAAACCTGCTCATACCAATGGCCAATGGCATTATCAACACTCTTCAGAGAAATTACTACGACTCAACAAGTCTAATTGTCAAATGCCATTGCAAAAAAAAAAAACGAGCCTAGTGGGCAACAGTTGGGCATTGTTGTCAAGAGGAGCAATATCCCGGCTACAAGAATAGCATTGCAAAGATAAAGAAAAATACGTGGCTGAAATGGTTTCGGAACAATGGCAAACTCCCTCATCCGATGCTGCTGTTCAAAGTGCTCTCTTCGGACATGTTCTCGCTGCAGCTGCTCAGACTCTTCCTGCCGAGCTTTTTGTGCTTCGGCAAATTCCTGATCTTGGATCTCTTCCAGAGTCCTGTAGTAGTTTGCCAGCATGTCCTCGCTTCGCTCAAACGAAGACGATGGTTCCGGAACACATGTTGCAACTGCTAACTTTGCATGGTAAATCTGCACACAAAAGGGAGTAGATCTAATATGATCTAATAGCCAAGCCTAGCCAAGATTCCTCGAAGGCCTTTCCCAGCGGCACACCTGGCATGGGTGAGTGTGTGCGGGTTGTAATCTGAGTCCCTGCTGAAGAAGATCTGCCGATGTCACGCGGTGTGGGTCCATTGGAAGAGGCCCAGTCTGACTGATCTGACCATGGGCTGCGCGCAAAGGAACCATCACGGGTGCTGTCCATGGACGGTGGCCGCAAGCTTTGCCTTAGGGCAAGGAGTAAAGCACACGCACAGCCATCTGTGAAACGCAAGGAATGTCATCAAAGTCAAAGTTTACATGCTATACATTTCCGGATGTTTGTACATACTTAGACTCCAAGGCCGAGTCTTAGCATTAGCCATGAAATCGGCAAGTTGCAACCTCCACTGGGCGGAACGAATTTGGCGCGCTTCGTTGACAACAGCCTGCTTCGAATTTAGCGACTCCTGGCGACAAGTGATGGGCGGTTTCAAGCCATCCCGGAAATAATATTGGGGATGGCCATCCCAAATATGGCTTGATAATGCAATATCCAAATAATAGTCATTATCATCCCATTAAATATGGCATTTTCTTCCCCCACCATTCAATTTGCTCACAACACTGCCTCAAGAGTATTTTCTTTCCCCCCTTGTCCGAAGCAAGGGCAACATCATGCGGTGACGCCTTTTTTAAGAGTTACTGTAACTTGTGGGGCCCACCTTTCTACAGCATTACTCACGACACCTACCCTCGACCTGAAATGTTGCAGGTAAAAAACGCCCAAACCTGCCTGTTTGCTCTTCTGAATCAAAGTTCTTGCCGCTTGGCGCTCGCTTTGAACAATGGCAGCTTTTCCAGCTGTATCCAAACGACGCGCTTCGGTGATCGGTGGGATGGCCCCAAACAGTTGCAAATCCAGAGAGCTGGCGCCCGCTTTCAAGGCATCTTGCATGAAGTGTGTGGGGCTGACCTCAGGGGGAGCTCGTAGTGGTTGAGCCACCCATCTGAAAAAGATGAATCAACCAGGATCGTCATACAAGGCAGGATGGTAAAACATTGAATGTGTGCTACCGTAAATAGTGCAAAATTCAAACCACAAACTGAAATAATGACACCCCTGACTTGCTCTGTCAAAGGTCCACGCCGCGTCCTGTGATCAAGAAAAACAGTGCAAGTCCAACTACCGAACAACCCCTTGGAATCCCTGCTGTGACCTTGAAAAGGAAGAACTGGAATCAATTCAGGAATGTTTGAAACAAGTTGAAAACCTTTTCGGCGGGGATGTGGCCTCACCAAGCGCCCTTGTAAACTTCTCAAACTGCTCCCGCCGCCGCCGATCAATTCTTTGACGCATGTCCACTTCCTCCATGGCTTAATGGCTTGTTTGCCAAAGGTCAGGTATCTCCGAAGGAACGAAGGGGTGCAGTAGCTGTAATCTAGCAAGCTAATGCCAAAAAACATGTCAGATGTAGTCAATGTATGTCAATGTAGTGTAGCCGTGTGTTTTTTTTGCTTTTGCTCTTGGTGCAGCGGCTGTGTGCTCTTGGTGCAGCGGCTGTTTATGTGCGATTATGTGCGTACTGCGCGTTGGAGCTTGCGCTGTATGCGGCCCTCTTAATGGTTTTTGAAGCTTTGCGGGCCTCAATGCTCTGACCGCATCCAGTCTTTTTACGGACGCAGCCAGCCTGAGCCTAACTGCGGAAGTTAGAGACTAAGGTGGAAGGGAGAAGCACAGAGAAGCTTCAAATGATGCGTCACCACAGACTCTGCACACAAAGTTGCTGCGATCTACGAATCCGATTGTTTGAGCTCAACCCCACCTGGCCTGAGCTGCACGTTACATGCAAGGTTCAAAAAAGATTGGCCCAACCCGGAAATCGCATCGCGTAGCACTTGAACCCATGGCTACAGAGCATAGTGGTGCAAGAAGGCCCCTTGCATCCCTGTTGTTGAATAACTAGTCAACTCTGATTCAAACCTTAGGTTTTCCAAACGCTAAAGCCCACATCTGCAACTCCCCTGTCCTCTGATCTGCAAAGCACAACCTGAGAATCTTGTGAGGTCAGCCGACACGGATTAACGCTGGATCTCCTGCCCATTCTGAAGGCAATGTGGTCAAGCTCAACGCAAATTAAGTAAGTGGTTTGTTGGGCTGTCCCACGTGCCGGTACTTTGGTGCCTCAAATCAGGGCAGAAACAGCAGCAGGAATCTAATAATCGAAGTCTTAAATATCCTCCCGGGTTTAGGTATTCTTAATCTATTGGTCTGGTCTGGTCTGGTCTTGTCTTGTCTTGTGTGTCTGTCTGTCGACCTATCTGCCTGCAATCCTCTGTATTCCTATCTGTATCTACACTGCATGCCATCTATACGCATCAATGATGGTCCAAGATGCAGCGGCGGCTCTGGTCAGGTCTTGCACGAACCATGACCAAAGGGACCTCAGCAGCTGGTTGCCTGCTGGTAGCAGGATATTCCAACAAGACTTTTGAGATTCCTTCTGCTGCTAGATGCTGCTAGATGTTCCAAAAGAGTCCGCATTGCAGTTTGATCATGTCATATCATGTCTATCAACTGTGCTGGCTGTCAGATTGCCGATTGGCTCGGCCTGGACGTGCCTGCAGTAGATGCCCTGGTAGCTTGGCCCCTGAGAGCCCAACATCAGCCCCTGGCTGTGAACGTTGCCTGCACACTCCACAGGCCCTCTCAACCAGTTGGCCAGTTTCGAGGCTTCCTCCAAACCTGGCCGGCAGCGATTACTCGCAGAGCACCAGGTTTTCATGGCACTGGGTGTTTGACCAATCGTAGGAGGATTGAAATCCGTGAGAATAGGGATACCGACGAACAATCCCGACCAGTTTCCGGAAGACGAAAATGTGCTGCATCTGAGGCTGGCTCCCACAAACACCAAGTCTTCCCCAGAGCGTGTCTGGCGCGCCTGAGCATATCTAGAAACAAGAGTCTGTCTAGTTATGTATAACCGTCAGACAGTCAGAAGTGTCAGAAGACCCATGCACAACATGTATAACATCCCACCAAATCCGTTGTCCTGCATGTGTTTAAATCATATGCTGACATCAATGTCCGCATTGTGGCCCTTATTATCATCATCAACAATCATCATAAACAATCATCATCATCAAAATCATCATCAAAATTCAAAATCATCACCTGAGAAGGGAGGAACGAAAGCCAGGGGAGTGCGAAGGTGGGTGCGAAGAAGAAGGAGAGGAAGAGGGAGGATGCGGGAAACAGAATAGATCGAGGAGAGGTGGTGCCAGGCACGCACCGGCTTTTGTCTCGCTGCACCCTGCACCCAATTTTTCAATCGTTGTACCAATTTTAACGCGAGTTCTCTATCAATTTATCCTTCCATTGCATCATTTTTTCCAGTGTTTTGCCATGGTGTGACTCGATGTCTCAATCATTACTCTTATATTACCTCAGTGTGTCGAACGCGTACCCAAATGCACCTCCCACAAGCCCAACCGTTGCACCGTATGAACGGTTTTGCTCGTTTCTTCCATGGTTTTCTTTCCGTGCTTCTACTCCATAGTGGTCACACATCGAAACTGCAATTTTTCGATTGCTTTCCCATTGTTGCACGCGTGCTGTACGCGATAATGGTCCCACATCGGAGCCGCAAGTTTTCCATTGTTTTTCCATCCCATCAATTTCCATCCTTTTACTTTTATTTTACTTGGTATCATGTTCGAAGCGTTCTACTCAAATTTTCCCATCCAGCGAGCAATGAGAGGCACAAGGATATGTATGATCTGGGTTGCTGAAGCAGCAGTTTTTGCTTCAAATGCATCTACCTTTCTGCTGAATGCTGCATGTGTCTGTAACACTGTTGCCATTTCCGACTTTTTCAGAAACTGCTGCAGCATCAACAGCCAAATGTCACGTTCTATAGATTGTATAATGTATGACTGTGCACTTGTCTGATAAAGCAACCCACATCGACCACATGCGCGAGTATTTGTACAGTTGCATACCTGAGATTCCTCAGGATGAGCTTTTGCATAAGACCTGCTTTTCTTGGTCACCAAGACTTGATTGGCCGCAATTTTTCCATTGTTTTTCCATTGTTTGACTCCACTTCTTCAGCATAGTCCCTCAATTTTTCCATTGCTTTCCCATCGATCCACGTCGAAGCCATAGTTTTTTTTCATTGCTTTTCCATAGTTTTACTCGACATCATTTTCCCCTTCATTCCAGTCTCCCCAGTGTTTTTTTCACAGTTTTTCCTCCAGTCTTACTCAATCGTCCCATAGTTTACGCTATCAATTTATCCTTCCATTTCAGCAATTTTTCCAGTGTTTTGCCATAGTGTTACTCGATTTCTCCATTTCATCAATTTTTCCAGTGTTTTGCCATGGTGTTACTCGATTTCTCCATCATTACCCTTATGTTACCCCAGTGTGTCGAACGCTTACCCAAATGCACCTTCCACAATCCCTACAGTTGCACCGTATTAACGGTTTTGCTCGTTTCTTCCATGGTTTTCTTTCCGTGCGTCTACTCCATAGTGGTCACACATCAAAACTGCCATTTTTCCATTGCTTTTCCAATGTTTCACGCGTGCTTTACGTGACTTGGCATCATTTTACCCTCTCCTCATTGTTCCACCGATTTTCCTCGCGTTGTAATCAATTTTCCAAGCGTTCTACTCAAAATTTCCATTGCTTTCCCATTCTTTTCCCATTGTTTTACGTCATATTCCCTCATTTTTTCATTGTTTATCCCATATTTTATGCTATCAATTTATCCTTCCATTTCATCAATTTTCACAGTGTTTTGCCATGGTGTTACTCGATTTCTCCAGTGTGTCTAACGCTTACCCAAATGCACCTTCCACAATCCCGTATAAACGGTTTTGCTCGTTTCTTCCATGTTTTTTTTTCTGTGCTTCTGGTCACACATCGAAACTGCAATTTTTCCATGGCTTTTCCATTGTTTCACGCGTGCTTTACGCGATAATGGTCCCACATCGGAGCCTCAATTTTACTTGGCATCATTTTACCCTCTCCCTATTCTTTTCACCGTTTTTCCTCGCGTTTTAATCAATTTTCCAAGCGTTCTACTCAAATTTTCCATTGCTTTCCCATTTTTTTCCATTGTTTTATGTCATAGTCCCTCATTTTTTCCATTGTTTTTCTCATCATTTTCCCCTCCTTTCCCATTCTTTCCCATTGTTTTATGTCATATTCCCTCATTTTTTCCATTGTTTTTCTCATCATTTTCCCCTCCATTGCAATCTCCCCAAGTCCACCTCGGAGGGCGGACCAGGGGGGAATTGATACCCCACCGTCACCCAATTGCCACCTGGTACATAACCCTAAAAAAGTTTACCTGTGGCCACCTTTTTTACCACCTAATTTCCTGATTTTTGGTCCTCTCGGCTCGCTCTGCCCCCAGACCCCCTTAACTCACTTTGTTCGCAAAAATAACTTCGCCTAGCCTAGCGGCTGGCTTTCGTGAAAATCATCAAAATCATCAAAATCATCATCATCATCATCATCGTCGTCGTCGTCATCGTCATCATCATCATCATCATCATCATCATCAAAAGCATCAAAAGCATCAAAAGCATCATCAAAACGATCGTCCACCTCAAAAACGCGCTTGAAGGGCTATCGGCAAAGTAATTCCTCCTTTTGATGGCTGCTCCTATGACTGGCTCAAAGATTGCGACATCCACGGAGCATATCTTGATGCCTTCTTAAGTCGCAGCTCCATCCATTTCAGGCTATCCCTGCTCCTGATATTCCAAGTCGCGAACCAGAAAGACACCAAAAAAGCCTCCGAGCTGTGCTCTTGCCACCCACGCATGAGGCTCTTGGACCAATAGCAGCACCTGAGAGCTCGAAATATGTGGAAATGCAGGGTACAATACTGAAGTGTCAAGGATGCTTGAAGCTGCACCTAAAACCTAGTGTAGCTTGGCATCGTGGTTTTTTTTGAGTCTCAGGTCCGAACCAGCCGATGGCGATCCTGCAGTCCCAACAAGCACTTCTGCAATTCTATATATATATACTACTTGTGGCATCGCATGATATCACAATCACGTCCTCGATACTGCGCTTCTCTAGCAGGCCAGCTAATTCGAGGCTCGAAACCACATCCTCAACACCACTGTGATCAGCCAGAGGGTCGTGCCATTCCATCAGTTTGCCAGGGGGCGAACCACATCCTCTGCAAAGGTGTCGGAAAGCCATTGCTGGGCCACCCTGCACATGTTGCTTTCACAATCTCGTTTTGTTGGCACTTAGTTGAGGCCTGTCTCCTAGTGAGTACACGCCTTTCCGGCACAACTTGAGGCATCCAAGAAGCCAGTGTGCCATGTCAAACATGTTAATGGCAAAGGGTCTGAAGTGGCTAAGGGAGGCACTTGTCGATACACGGCCTGACGCAAGAGGCAATGAAATGCGATTGTGACAAAATATGCAACTGGACTGGAAACACAAATCCCATGTTTTAGCAGCATTGCAGCATGTCCTTACATTTTCCACATGTAAATTGGCCAGTTTGGAGTACGTCGAATGGTGAGACAATCCTAAGCTGTCCCCCTAGCAGAGTCTGTGAAAGAGTCCTGCCTAGCTGCCATGCCATAGCCGGCGGTGGCATCACAGACCACGATGCCTGTCGTATTGCACAGTCCGTGAACGTGTTCTTGGCAACCATGAGGGGCAAAAGTCAATGGTTATCATTGGTTCATCTTTTGGACTCCAGTCTTCGGAAACACATTTCAAATGTGCAGGCTAAAAATTCATCCTGCTGCCTCTGAACTTTCCATGCAGCTTTGCACCAAGCAGCATGCGAAATTCGGAGAGGTCCTAAATCAGTTGAGAACAAGATTCACATCAAACGTGCACTGTAGACGTGCACGTTACGTCAACCGCACGCTTCTAGGCGGTGCCCAGCATGTGCTTTCCTTGAGGTCACCTTCCGCTGGCATCGGCAGGCGTCTTAAAGCATTCAACCACTCATTCTGGGCTGGACTCCTGGCAAAGCTATGCAGGAAATGGATTACTTGGAAAGTTCACAAAATCGCACCAAGTGATACTGATAAGTTATCTGAGTTCTCTGATAATGTAGCTGCAACCACGACTCAATCATGCTCACTCCACCTGATGGCCAACGACTTCACGATACTTTACCCAAAAAACCAGCTGCAGATCGCGGATCTCCTCAAGCCACTGGGCCGAGTACAGATGGATGGTCTGCCGCTGTCAACCGGGATCTGCTCCAACTGTTCACCACACCTCAGGGAAAAAAAAACGGTCCCCCTGTCGTCATTCTTTGGGACAAGACTCAAGAGGATCCGTGCACACAGGGAACAACCTTGTAAAGTGCAGAAGTGAAAGGGGAAAAAAACGAGCCAAGTTCTTCAAAGGGTTCAATATTTCCTTAGATTCAGGCAGTATGAAGTGCGCTTCATGGCCAGAGTTGCAAGAGATCCAACCTTACAAGTGAACTTTGCTGCAAGGCGGTGAAAGCAATCAGTTCAAAAACAAGTTGATAAGCATGCCCTCTCTCTCACCATCTAAAAGCAGTTCTGCAACATTTTTGCTACGGACCAGTGCCTTGCTGGGAGATCTCCGTCCCATCCTGCCGTGGCCAATCCATGTCATTGACGACCGCAGGCTGGTGGTTTCCAACCCACAGCAAATGTTCAATCCAATCACCGTCGTCATCATCATCATCACCCCAGATCAGATCCGCAAGTCCTTCACCACCTTCCGACCTGGGCAGCTCGCACTCGCAACTGGCCACACGGCCCCGGCCGTGAACGCCGGGTGGCTGATCCGTTCGACGCCGAGGCACATCGCAGGAAACCATGCGCCAGGAGATCTGCAGCAGCCACCTAAAGGGTGCAACGTCCATCCCTGGGATCCACATGGATTGCAACCTATATCTGACAGAGATTGTGCCATGCGCTCCTTGAAACATCACTCACAAAAATGTGTTTATTTTGTCATTTTGGTACTTACCGAATGTGGCTCACTGCATCTTTCGGGCAAGGTCGGCAGGCAGGGTTGCTCCCTCAAAAAAGAAACACCAGACAGCAGCCCATCGGTATCCATATGTACTTGTTTTCTGGTCCAAGGAGCACTGCGCTTTGGAAATGGTGTGAAGGTCACCAACTCTCCAAATTCAACACTGGCTAGTTGGTCGCCTGGCTGCTGGGTTACAGCAACACGAAACCCACTGAAAAACCGGGAAAACCAAGTGCGGTTGTTGAATGTACTGAACTAATAACTACTGTAATCATTGGTGCTTCCACCATTTGGATGCATCATTTCCGAATCCGAAAAGGTTCCCTTCAAAGCTTCAGATCAACTCACTTGCAAAGCGCGAACTTCTGTGTGAGCAACTCTGTAAAGTGCCACGAAATATCTTTCGCAGTCTGCTGGTGGCTGGGAAAAGCCCAGCTCCGGCCCCACAATCACGGTGCCTTTCCCCCGCGCCGTGCAGATCAACAAGGGCACCTGAAACGTTAAGGGCCGCAACGGGACCGGTTCCTGGAGGCTGAGATGTGTATCTCTTACATCTCCATTAGATTCATTAGATGTTCAAAAGAATCGACCCTGGGCACCTTGGAGACGCAAAGCCATAGATCCGGTTGAGTCATGAACTCATGCCATCAGCTTGACAAGAGCTGTTTGTGCCATGTAGTCTCGAAACATCTTACTCAGAGATGACCTGAAAAAAAACACACTATCACGATGCGGTTGGCGTTCAAAGTTTTTGTTAATGTCATGTCCCCTCATGCATGGTGAGATTCTTGGGTCGTGCCAAGGGATGAGCTAGCTACCTCCCTTGCCACCACCAGCGAGTAGTCCATGCTATCTTCTGCATGACGATGACATTAAAACACTGCAGACATGCGAAATGCAGAAACTATGCCAGCTATGCCTTCCAATTTCCAACCAGTGCCAACTTCTAGCGTTTTTCCAGCAGCCGGGTGGCCGATGCTTCCATTGACCATATCTTGCCCAAGTGCCTATTTGGTGGCAGCATCACATTTGGCAAATGAAGCAATTAGAAGGCCGCATTTTGTTGACAATTCAGCTCCTTCTGGCACTGCTTCAAATCCTGCATCAAAAGAGATTCCCTCGTGGGAACACTGCGCCCTGGTCTGTTAAACACTTTTTTTTTTGGCCCAACACAACCCTAAATTGCGCGCTGGTTCAAAGTCCTCCATCAGAAACATCGCCTCCTCCTTCTCTTCTGCGCCATCCGCCTGAAAAGGAGTGACACGAGAGACGGTTAACCACCGCAGTCGCAAATGAAGGACTCTGAATGAACGCTTGCTGAATCTCCGGTAAGTGATTGCAGTGTACACATATATGTATCTTATATACAGTGTATATATATATATCTGTGTGTGTGCGTGCTACAAACGGAGAAAAAACTGTGTAGAAAGTACGAAACACACCGCGGCTACTACACCATCCAAATACTACTCATGCTGATTTTTCCTGCCAAGAAGTCAAGCATTGCTTCGCCTGCAGCATTGAGCACAAGCTGTCCATGACACCAGCATCTAGGATAATCTGTCGATGCTCTGTAAAGGATGCCAATGCAGCCTCGGAAGAATGGAGCTGGTGGCGGGTAGCTGTTCGTCGATATGTTGCTACTTTGTTTCCAATGTTGTCTTCTTCTTTCAAATCATCTCGTTTCTGTGGACTACGATCACTATGCCTTTGTGTCATGATGTTGCTAATTATCTGGGTGTGCCATGGGCACCATGTTCAGACAAATACTGAATCTGAAATACTATTTCTATCTGCTATCGAGTTTTGATTCCACTATGGAAAGTCTATGGGTTTTGTGGCATCCAAAATTGCCATGTGGGCCATGAATCCGGCTGCCAAGTCTCCGCCGCCCGGCATCGCTCCTTGCTGGTGCCAGATGATAGCACTTTGGCCAAATCTTTGATCCCACCAGCCACCAAAATCACAGTTTGGCGTCGCACCTCAGACTGGGGACACTGTCAAGCAACCAAAGAAAAACCCTTTTGGGAAACGGTGTGTTGCACCTGTCAATGCCAATATGTTTGTTTGGTGTATTAGATCCATGTTGTTCAAGGATGTTTGCACAGCATAACATCACGCAAGGTAGTGTAGAATTTCAGTACTGCACAGCACACTGCGGCACAGCACTTTGCGATGCATTGCATTGAAATACATTGCTTTGCATTGCATTGAATTACATCGCGTTGCTTGACGGTACTAGACGTATGCAACAGTTACATAACATAAATGTCATTGACCAACCCATCTACCTATTTACATAACCGCTTACCTATTCCTATCTCTTGTATGACATGATATTGAATTCAGTTGCTGCTGTCGAAAATGTTTCCAAAATTCTGGCACGTAGGCATCTAAGCCCTGAACACTGCCAGAAGCAAGGTTGGACAAAGCAGCCATGCACCAGAGCCTTTCTTTGATGCACCCCAACGCCTCACCCTTCAAAACTTTGAGTAGCGATTCAACAACTCCAGTAGCAACGATGGCATCTTTGTTGGATTCGTGATTTGCTGACAGATTGCACAGGGTTGAGATTGCCTCTTCCCTCTCCAGAGCATTGCCAGACCGCACGAGCTCTGCCACTAGGTTTATGACCCCTTCTCTCGCAATGATGCTCTTGTTGCTGGTACTCTTGGAAGCCAGTCGGCCAAGCGCCGCCACAATCCAAGCACATTCATGTGTAGCGGGTTTCATGGAACCCACTGCCAACATCCTATGCAAAAGGTCAATCATAAGTTGGGCGGCGCCACACTCCATCATGAGCTCGCGATTCTCTGAACAGTTTGCTGCCACACAACCCAGCGCAAATGCTGCCCTTTCTCTCTCTTCGGGTCCCCCAAACTCAAGCATTTTCATCAAACCAAAAACAACTGACTTTTCAACCTGAAAATGCTGGTCCGCAGCCAGAGTCGCAATTGAAATTGCGTCCTGACATGTCATCTGAGAAATTGGACATGGTGCGTTGGACAAATGGCAGTTTGCAATGGCTGTGGCAACTTGCTGGCAGAATACAACCAACACCCATCTCTCTCCACTTGTCACCTGATTGGATTGATGCCACACCATATGATCCAGCAAGCACAGCTCACCTGCTCGAAGTTGGTAAAAATGTTCCTGCTGCTCGCTATCCCAAACTGTCATCCCCCCGCCAGCGAAACCTTTCGGGCTGTGTAGTTGCAAAATCATCGATGCATGCACTTGGGGGCCATCCACATGCCGTGTGAGGTGACTTTTGCCATGTGTCGCTGAGTACTTCGTCACGAAAGATTGGACACGGCGCAGCGTAAATCCATTTTTATGGGGATGGATCGAATGCCACCACCGAGTCAAATGAACCGTAAGTTCGTCCAAGAGCGGCAACAACAATGCGAGCAGCGGCGGATGCTGGACTGCACCAGGTACCATTAAGTCTGGCACATCTTCCGCCAATTCAGAATAGCAAGAAATATTCCAATGACCTTTCGCATCCAAATAAGAAGTTGTGCAGGGCTGGTAGCATGTTTCGATCTGATAAGATAATTCTGTTAACCTTTGAGCAAGGCCAAGGTCCACAATTTCAAAACCTTCACTAGCCGGCACTGATGCACGCCTGCGTTTGCAGCAAGTGTTCACCCGAAACACGCGTTTTCCCATGCCGCGTGGATTGCGCCCATTGGTGTCACAAATTCTTTTAAGTCATGATAAGTGTGTGTTCTTATTGACGGTCAATAAGTCTCGTGCCTTCCAACTAATTATTGACACAGAAACGGGCACAAAATGAAAGTGAGTTGCGGGGTCTATGGTCGGGTGCATTAAACAAGGCCTTTGCTAAGCCACGGAAAGTTCGAGCCAAAATATGAAAGACAAACGTCTCATGTGTCAGTGTATGTCAGTGTGACATTTTCATATTTCGTCTTGTGTGCATTTTGGCCTCGGCGTGGCGGTTTTTATCTAAAATTAATTCGCCGGTCTTGCTTCGTAATTTGACTGCAGACATTTTGGTTCTTATTGTTTGTGCTGCATCCCCTCTTCCATCCGCCGATCAATATTCTGTTCCATCATTAACCTATCTCTATCTGACTTACTAGGGTTATCTCCATTTTTGTACTGTCAAATTCACTTCCGCCAATATTTTTGCATCAAATTTCGTTGTATACCCCACTTTCCTTTGCTGACCTAGATTCGTCAAGTAACCTCTATCCATGTATCTCTATCCACCTACCATTTTTGGTTGCCTCTGGCAAAGTTGCCACTCTATGAAACTTGTTGTTTTTTGTCTTGCGTCTGGCGTCTTGCGTGGCAGCTGCGGCACTTGGTCGCTTAGCGTGGCAAACCTGGCACTTTGTCTGGCACGTGGTTGTGCCCAAAAAGAGTATCAACGCACGCACAAAAAAAAAACATCATACCCGAGCTGATTCGGCCACCTTTTTTTTTGCAACA